TATCAATGTGCATCCCCAAAGATAAAAAATCTCAATTTGCACCCTCAAAGATAGAAATTTGTATCAACGTGCACCTAAAATTAAATTGATAAATTATATCTAGATCCCCTCATGTTTGTCACTTAATCATTTGAACTCCTTCACATTTAGAATATTCCCCTTACATCTCATGACGTTTGTGCATGTGTAACAAATAATCACTTTTCGTTGATATTTGTTAATATAATCATTAAAAAATATGATTTTATCCTGATAAAAAATTATAATTTCATATTACCTTTTATTTTGTGGATTCGATATACTCTAAAGTTAAAAATCAAGCTTACCATTTGAATGTCTAAAAAAAAGTAGATATTTATATAAAAGGTAATATGAAAAAGATTATATAAATATTTACATTTTATTAGACATTCAAATGGTAAACTAGATTTTGAACTTTAGAATATATTAAACCCATAAAATAAAGGGTAATATGAAATTATAATTTTTTATTAGGATAAAATTATATTTTTTAACGGTTATATTAATAGATATCAATGAAAATGAGTTACGTGTTATACGTGCACAAATGTCATAAGATGTAGGAGTAATATTCTAAATGTGAAGAGGTCTAAATGATTAAGTGACAAGTATGAGAGGATCTAGGTATAATTTATCAATTTAGTTTTTATGTGCACATTGATACAAATTTCTATCTTTGAGGGTGCAAATTGAGATTTTTTATCTTTGGGGTGCACATTGATATAAATTTATATTTTTGAGGGTACAAATTGAGGTTTTTGATCTTTGGGGGTGCACATTTATACAAATTTCTATCTTTGAGGGTGTAAATTGAGATTTTTGATCTTTGAGAGTGCAAATTAAAATTCGAACAATCTTTCGAGGTGTAAAATGAGATTAACCCTTTTTTTTTTTTGCCAACTTGTCTGCGTCTATAAGAAAGTTTGAATGGATATCAATTAGAAAAGCAATATAAAAAAAATATTGTAATTTATAAAATCTATATAAAAAAGTTGAAAGGTTTTTACCATAAACCACAATAATAGTCTAATTTATTTATGTTTAATGATTTATCTTACAACTTCAATATAATCTTTTAATCACAGTGGATATGCCTATTTACATTTAACTCTTCAAACATAGTAAAGATGCTTACGACTAGAAGTATCAAATGGTGGACTGGGTTGATTATGGATCGGATTAAAATAAATTTAATTTATTTTTCACTCATGTTATAAATGAGTAATAATGAGTTGAGTTTATAAAGGATTTGGTTGAATCAATTAACCCATAAAATAATTTAAATTTTTAATAGACACATTAGTACATCAATACACACACATTAATAGTACACCAAAATACAAACATATACACACACTAATACACCAAAACATACACAAACTAATATATTAAAAATATATACATTAATACACTAAAATACACAAAAAATACACACACATAGACTAACACAAAAATTAAAACACATTTAATAAAAAAATACACACATAATGGGTAGAGATCGATTGTGGACTATGAGTTGATCCGTGGGTCATGGGCTGATCATGGGTCGACCTTCAGGTCATGGGACATGGGAATGGGTCATTGGTCGACCTGCGGGTCAGGGTCGACCCGCAGGTCATGGGTGGTATATTAGTTTGTGCGTATGTTTTAGTATATGTGTAAATTTTTTGGTGTAATAATGTGTGTATTTTTTGGTATATTAGTATATTTATTTAATTTTATTATTTGTGTTATTTAATAAAAAGATAAATACTCAATTCAATGGGTATGTTAACTCATTTAATGAAAATAAATCATATTACTCAAACCATTTAGAACTCGTATTAATTAATATAAGTATCTAACACATTTATTTACGGGCGGATTAAAAGATAATGGATTAAGATTATCACCTCTACTTACGACAATAAATTTATTCACCAGAATTCACATTTTAATCACACATATTTTATAAGCATAGTATATGTATTTTAATCACAGTAAATATTTATTTGAACAACAATAAAAAAGTAAAAATTACATAGATGATTACAATGGAAGTGAAGAGAGACCTATAATAAATGAATTCAGTAGATAGTGAGTTGGTGCAATTAAAATATATTCTACCATAAATTTTAACTTTAATTATCTATCATTATTATTATTAATTAAGGGAGAGGACCAAAATCACATAGAATGGGAGCGGGAGCAAGAGCACGAAAGCGAAAAAATTCATAGAACAGAAGTGTCATAAAACTGCTGTATTATATATATAACTATTGAAAATATATTTTAAAAAGTAAAATTTTACATATAAATATATGATATGACTTATTTAAATTTTGGTAACTATTAAAGAAGAACCCTTGTAAGGCATGTCAATGCTTTTTTAGGTGAAGATGCAAATCTCACATTGACAGGGAGTGAGAGATTGGCAGCCCCACATGCCTATAAAACGCCACTGACCCATGTAGGGGTGTCCATGGGCCTGGCTGGACTAGGCCCATGAATTTTTTTCGGGCCGGTCCTGGATAATGTAGACCAAAGCTTTTATTCAAGTGAATTATTGGACGTGCCAGGTTTCGCGTAAGGGTAGGCTATCCGCAGCCCAATCCGTGAATCTATTGGGCAGGCTTGTGAACGGGTTTGCTAGGCAGGTCTGTTTTCGGGTTTTTTTATATATATATTTGTTTAAAAATAATGAATATTTTAGTAAATTAATATTTGTGTAAATTATATTTTTAAATCAAACGTAAAGTCAAAATGGATAAAAATAAAATAGTGAACTACATCCAATAAAATGAATAAATTACAACTAGGTTAATACCTACTAATTTATCTATCATTTATATTACTCTACCATTTAAAACTTATATGTTTAATACATGAAAAATAAATTAATTCATTATTTATAAGATCTAAATTTTTAAAACTTCAAATTTTAATATTGGGAGACTTATTTTAAAGTTTCAAATTTAATGGTCTAAAAGTATAATTTTTTTTCAAAAGAAGGGTAGGCGGGCTAGGCTTGACGGTCAGACAATAAGTTTGGGGACAAACCCAAGTCCCCTTTTTAATGATATTGGACTCGGACTTAAGCGGGCCAATTATCAGGCTTTGAAATAGTTTCAAAGCCTATTGAGGCTAGGTGAGGTCGAAGCCTCAGACTTGTGATGATCGGACCCGTGTTGACTCGATTGATGAATACTAGCCTAAATATCATTGGCACACTATAGTTTAAATATTTATTGAAATAGTTTGTTTATTGTAGTTAATTAAACTTGGTAAATTAATTTAAGTGAATTCATGTCAGAAAGATCACGATTTTATGACGAATTTGTTCTGAAAACACAAATTTACGCACGAAACTTGACAGAATGGTTAATATTAGGCAAATTGTGTGACTCATGAGAGGACACCGAACTTCAATCTCTCCCATAATTAATAGTATATATTTGGGTAGAGGTGGGGCTTGACCAAAGTGTTAGTGAAATGCAACAATACGCTTTAGTTTTTTTTTTTTTGTCAACTTGTCTGCGTCTATAAGAAAGTTTGAATGGATATCATTTAGAAAAGCAATATAAAAAAAATATTGTAATTTATAAAATCTATATAATAAAGTTGAAAGGTTTTTACCATAAACCACAATAATAGTCTTATTTATTTATATTTAATGATTTATCTTACAACTTCAATATAATCTTTTAATCACAGTGGATATGCCTATTTACATTTAACTCTTCTACCATAGTAAAGATGCTTCCAACCAGAAGTATCAAAGGGGTGAATTGGGTTGGTTATGAATTAGATTAAAATAAATTTAATCTATTTTTCACTTATGTTGTAAATGAGTTATAATGGGTTGAGTTTATAACGGATTTGGTTGAACCTATTAACCCATAAAATAATTAAAATTTTTAATAGACACATTAGTATACCAATACACACACATTAGTAGTACACCAAAATACAAACATATACACACACTAATACACCGAAACACACACAAACTAATATATTAAAAATATACACACTAATACACAAAAAATATACACACATAGACTAACACAAAAATTAAAACACATAATAGGTAGAGATCGATTGTGGACTATGAGTTGGTCCATGGGTCATGGGCTGATCATGGGTCGACCTTCAGGTCATGGGACATGTGAATGGGTCATTGGTCGACCCGCAGGTCATGGGTGGTGTATTAGTTTGTGTGTATGTTTTACTATATGTGTAAATTTTTTGGTGTAATAATGTGTATATTTTTTTGTATATTAGTATGTTTATTTAATTTTATTATTTGTGTTATTTAATAAAAAGATAAATACTCAACCCAATGGGTATATTAACTCATTTAATGAAAATAAATCATATTACTCAAACCATTTAGAATCCGTATTAATTAATATAAGTATCTAACACATTTATTTATGGGCGGATTAAAGGATAATGGATTAAGATTATCACCTCTACTTATGACAATAAATTTATTCACCAGAATTCACATTTTAATCACACATATTTTATAAGCATAGTATATGTATTTTAATCACAGTAAATATTTATTTGAACAACAATAAAAAAGTAAAAATTACATAGATGACCCCTAAACTAGATCAATTGTGTCAATTAAGCTTTGAACTAATTTTTGTATCAATATTGCTTCTCAACCATGCAACTTAACTTGACGTGGACATTCTTTTAAATTAGATGTTAAGTTTAGCATATCGTCTCATGTGTACATCACATGTATGATCTTAATTACTCTAATTCCTGACTCACGTGATATGAAAGTGAGACTTTTTATTAAGGTTTATAACAATTTTGGATGAAAATTGAGACAACCAACATAGATTAGAGGTCATCTTTTCATTTAACTTAAAAAAAAAATCATATTTGCACAAGATACTCTAGTGTTGAAAAAAAGAACACGCCCTATAACATAAATGCTAAAAGAATTATCGATATTAAAAATAAAAATTGAAAAAAGGGGGCTAAAAGAGGAGCAAATTTACCGTGACTTCAATGGGCACTTGAGTGTCAATGCGATGCTGGTAATACAAATCAATGCAATCGATGTCAAGCCGCTTCAAGCTGGCCTCGCAAGCAGCCCGCACGTATGCCGGTTCACCACAAATAACTCCTTCCTCCAACTTGATCCCGAATTTCGTCGCTAATTCCATTTTCTCTCTCATCCCTCCCTTCAAAGCCTGCATGCAACACATAGGAAGAATTTTTATTTTGAGAAGGATCACAATAAGTGACATAACGATTTTTTTTTATTCAATGGGTTAGTTAATGAATTATTGTTAATGCAATTTTTTTAATTGTATAAAACTTATCAAAATAATTTTTTTACAACATAAACTATATTATTATTATTATTATATATTTTTAATAAATTAGAGAACATTAATTCAAACTTGTCAAATTGATTTCATGCAAACATATTCAGATAAAGTCATGAAAAGTAGTAATTTCAGCTTAATTTCATTAAATATCACTCAGGTACAACTAAATTTCAATCATACTTTTATAACGACTGACAATCAACAAAAAAAAAAAGAGATTGAGAGTATACAATCTCTTAAATAAATAATCTGTAAAAGTTCAAACTCTATATATATAAGATTTGAGAATATCATATTTTGTCTTCTTGAACTATAATCTTCATTTTACTTTGTCATTTCAATTATCGATTTGAGTACATCGCACCACTGACAATTCAAATTTGTAATATTTTGAAAAAAATTATGAATTTCTTTACAAAAATAGTCAACATGACTATTTAATTGGTCCAGGCCGAAGCTTGGCTCCGGCGTTGACCATATCTATCTATTTATATATATATATATATATATATATATATATATATATATATATATATATATATATATATATATATAAAATAAATATTTTTTGGGGGAGAGGGTTTGAGAAATCTTCTCCCTCTAAATGTTTAATTTCTAGATTTTTGAAATATTCAATTAACCTTTTCTAATTAAAAATTTTTATTTAACTTATTTAAAATTAACTTAATTTACTGACTTAATAATGTGGTGTCATTAAAATCAATGAATCAACATCAAATTCCAAATATTTGATGAAGTTCATTTCTAATTCAAAGACCATAGTAAATTAGGTCAATAAATTAAATTTCAATAGCATTGTTTGATTTTTAAAATATTTCAAATTTAAAATTTCGCTCACTTTTTCACTTTTTCACATTTAACAAAATACTATTTAAATCATTACTGGCTAATTTTTTAATAATATAAAAGTTAAAAAAAAAATTTAAACAAGATAATTTTTTTTTTTTTGGGGAGAGGAGGGAGAGAGGGTTTGAACGCTTACTGTAAAGTCTTTATAAGATAAAAAGTATAATTGTTTTAAAAACTCATCGGTTAAAACAAGATAATAAAGAGGAACGAATTTCGCGCATCATACGGAACACCTCTAGTCGATCAATATTTCTCGCGCACAGGGATGTGTATTGTTGAGATTTAGTGAATTGTGAAGAGTACCTTGCCAATAAGTATTTCGTTGGTGAGGGGGCCGTACATGTCGGAGGTGTCGAGGAAGGTGACGCCGGAGTTGATGGCGTGGTGGACGAGCTTGATCATGTCCTCTTCGGGCTTGGGAGGGCCATACCCATATGACATGCCCATGCAGCCCAGCCCTTGTTTTGATACTTCCAAACCCTGTGAACCCAATTTGATTTTGGGCACTGTGACCGCCATTTTCAACTCTGTGCGTGTGTGTGTGCTTGAAGTGAAGAAATGGTGGGAGGAATGGAATGGTGAGGCAGTAGATTTATAGAGAGGTGCTCACCTTCTCTATGACCCATGAATGGGTAGTTGGTCAACTGGAGCTGTTGAACTGAAAAAATCAAAATAAATGGCCAATGTGATGGGTTACTCTACCCAGAAATGATGTCCAATCCTGAACCTCAAAAAGTTTGATAATTTAATTATTCATCGTAAAATTATTAAACCCTACTCATAGTTTACTATGAGTATTTATCTAACAACTATTAAATTGTAAATAATAGTTTTAGTGTTAGATGATTATAATTGCTGAAATACATCAGTGAGAGAAACAACACATTTCTTATGAAGTGGAGGAAACCCACCAAGGGACAGCTCAAATTCCACAAAAAAAGAAAAAGGAAAGTGATTCAAAGAAGGCAAGAAGATCTCAAACGAAAGTCAAAAGTGGCGGCCAAATAATTAATGAAGCCAATCAAAGAGAAATTAAGGGAGAAGGTAACACCACCATTCACTACCCCTGAAAAAAAGAACGAGTTCAGGCTGCATCAATTTGACCAGATAAATCTTAGAGAATGAATATGTTAATGAATGTTAAAGATTTGGTCGAGGAGAAAAAACTTATAATATCGTAATTAGTCGTATCTACTTTGGCCTATTAATTTTTTAATATGCTAATTTCAATAACTCTAATTTTTTTATATATCTTTCAAGTTGCTCTGGCTGTATGGTGCGTCAAATGATTTGGATTTTTTGTACTTTACACCTTGAAAGATTTTAAGATTTTTACTGTATATTTGTAAAGATTAAATTTTTATATTATACTTTCAATGTATTAAAAATGTTACATTGTGACCATGTTATTAGTTTTCATTATTTTTTTTTTTCAAAAGTCAACTCAGAAAAAAAAATTGACAAAATGCTAACAGAATTGTCATATTACAATACTTTTGATATATTGAGATTGCAATGGAAATAATTTAACCTCTAAGGGTATAAAGTGGGAATCTCAAAATATTTTAGGGTACAAAATATAATTCGTCCAAACAATTTTATCTTCTTCATATTACTATATATTTATAATAAATAATTTAAATGAAGAACTACTGAAGTCAATTGTAAGTGCACCCTTAAAATTAGTAAACTCTGCTGAAAAAAATTAGTAAACACTGCTCAAAAAATAATATAAAATTAGTAAACTCGACTTCCTTTTGGCTACAGGAGTTCAACTCGAGTTGTTTATTGACAGTCAACAGTCAATAAAATCGCACCCAAAAGAAAAGGAATTGAGATCATTTTTATCACACTTTCATTTAATTTTTTATTTAATAATAAATTAATTACCTTTAATTCATTACAGACCTAATATTTGTGGGTGGGTCTTTCATTCACACACAGTGATTTATTTACTATTAAAGAAAAATATAATAACAAATATTTAAATTCAAAGAAAATATCAAAAATAAAAAAAGGCTCAAGGATCCACATCCTTTTATTACATTTTTACATTATTATAAATTATTTATCATAAATTCAAATAAGACTCATTTTTTTTTTAAATGAGTTCTTTGCTCGTACATAATGAGTAATCTAACACTAATTAAAATTTAATCAAAATATAATAAAAAAATCTCAATCTCAATCTCAGTCAATCTATGCTTTCTCCTTGACCAAGCAGTAAGATGGTTTCTCTTTGACCAAGTCGTGGTGATTTTAAATGATATAAAGAAAGATGTTTTCTCTTTGACCGAGCCACTGAGACTTTAAGGAAATAGAAAGGAAGGCTTGGGTCTAGTCCACACCAACCTCACGTTAGGGTACTATTAAAAGACAGGTACATTCTAAGACGAGGTCCTTATTTTAAATGTATAATTTTTTGGGCAAACTTTATTTTACGGACCCTAAATACACTTAATCTGTCTAAAATTTGAAAATGTCGGCAGAACTCTTACATGATTTGTTAACTAAATCACAATGCTAAAATAACCTTCCTACCCATCTTTCTCGTTCTTCAACCCCAACCCCGAAAAACTCTCATCTCTTGTGCTTCTTCTCAAACAACCTATCAACAACTCTGTCATTTTCTCTCTAAAATCCACAACGACCACAAAGGAGAACACAATGACGAGCTCATATTTAGACCAAACCCGAGTCTAGTTCATGGGATGAGTCCAAACTATCAAAAAGTAAGTCAGACTTAACTCATGACCTCAATCTAATCCAAAATCCATGAGTCCAACAAGAGTTAACGCACATGAGAAAGCAATCATCGTGATAGTCATTACTCCAAGATAGTATCTATCCTCAACAGTAGCTATTCTCCCCGATAAATTAGTAGTTTAATCTTTGTGTCACCGCCATAATTAAGACTCTGTGCCTATAAATTATAAACCTCATACACATGGGACAAATCTCACACACCTCACATTGAACGTATTCTTACACACACACATTCTCTCTCTCATACTACCTTATACTCTCTCATTAATAGAGTTCTCCGACCACTATTATCACCTTCAGTGGTTAGGTCACCCAAACCCATTCACTCAATTTTTTTTGTCTCTTACTATTAATTGCTTTATTAATTACTTGGCATTATACATTCGACTAATTTGATTGTGTATAACCTATTTTGTGCATCATCACACAACAGAAAAGGCACTCTTTTAATTTACAATGGAAAGCATAATCCATATATCTAACATAGTATTTGGTTAAAAAAAATTGAAAAATTCAATACAAATTTTCAACATAAATTCACATTCTCTGAAATTTCCAATTTAAAAATTTTAGAATTTGACAAAAACATTTTAAGAAATTCATATGAAAATCAACATTGCTGTCTTTCTCTTATTTTCTCGTTTGAACAAAAGTTGACCTACAAGAATTTTGTTTCTCTCTCTCTCTCCAATCACCCTTAACCTGTCACTTGTGCATATCGTGGTTATGGAAAATGTTCAGCTAGCAATGAAGGCAAAAACTCTGAGTGAAATGCACACATATGACAAATTTATTTAATCCTCATGCCCTTCCAATTGTCAAAAGCATAGTGCATCACCCTTCATTTTGATTTTCTTTTTAAATAGTCATACCATAACTCTACAATATAGTCACTTGAAACTAAACTAGCGTCCTTGCAATAAGTCTTCTTCTCCTTCAATGTCTACTTCCAATTTTTTTGCTTATTTCATTATGAGAGAGAGGCGCCCCACCAGGTAGATGTTGTTGCTAGTAGTGGACTCATTAGAAAAGAACACAAGGAAGAAGAGAAAAGGAAGGTTGGGACTAATGGCCAGATGGTAGGGTCGATTCAATAGAATTTGGGGTTTTAAGCAAAAATTTTAAGTAGGGAGATTACTTTTAAAATTACTAATAAGTAGTTAATGATGGGGCCCGGCCCAAAGCCCAACTCAGATAATGGGCTTGGTCCAGACAAAGCCCAATGAATTCGGCCCAGAAGAGACCCAAATCAAGTCAAGCTCACCAAAGCTCCGACAGTCACACCATCTTGGAGTGAAGAAGTCAGTGACGTCATCCTAGAGCCTCATCCCCGCCATCCTAGAGTGAGAAGGTTTGTCACGCCATCCTAGGATCTTGTCTTGAGGAGATCTCTACGCCCTCTCAGAAACTGTCTCACCTGTTGCGAGAATGACATTTATCCTACCAAATCAACCTTTCTGTTACTGATAAAGTGCCTCAATCTGTTAGGATACACCTATCAATTGTAAGCCCTGCTTACACATGAATGTATCTCTTACATCTTGTATCTCGTCTATTACTCACACTCGAGCACTCAACACTCATTGAAATAATAAAACACCTAAGTCATCTTAGCCATTCACAATGGAGTAGGTCACCTTGACCAAACCACTTAAATTGTGTTTTGTTTGTGTTGACTCTCTTCTTATTTATTTATTACATTAATTACTTAACAAGTTGTGCAAAAAATTAATTTGTGCATTATCAATTTGATATTATTTGTGGAAAACAACTAAGTTTTCTACTGTATTTCTATTCCTGCAACTTTCTTTCCATTTTATGGCTATTACGATTAAGTCCATGAATTAACAAACGAAAAAAAATGATCCACCATGTCGCGACGAGGTTTTGTCTCCACCGGCAAACCTCGTCACTGCAGCAAATCTTGTAGCCAGACAACAACCACAAAAGACAATGTAGCTGTTGGTGAACCAAAACTAATAGATCCTCCAATTGATGCCCATCGGACACTCTCAAGGAGTTGTGCCCCAGCCCCCAGGAAAAGAAACACCCCAGGCAATCTGCCTAGGGCGCCAAGGTGCCCCTCAGCAGGGCCCCTAACGTCAAGGCGCCCAGCATCAGTGCCCCCTTGTAGTGCCAGGGCATCCCTCCTCAGTACCCAGCATCGGGGTGCCCCCTACAGCACTAGGGTATTTCTCCTCAATGCCAAAGTGCCCAAGCCCCTCCGCATGTGCTGGCTCGGTCCTCCCGCGCTGGTGACCCTCTTATGCACGGAGACGAGGGGAAAAACAAGTACATGGACCATGAAAGCCACAACAAAAGTCCGTTAGAAGGTGTCCCTAAACAATGTGATGAAAAAATCAAGGAGGTGCAAAATCAGTTAGGCGATGTCTTCAATGCCATTAAGGTGCCGGCACCAAAAACCAGTTGACTACCTTGTCAGGCACACTGAAACTCCACTCGTAGTTGATTCGTCCAACTACCATCTCCCCCCAAAATTCAAGATGCTAATTGTGGAAGCTTTTAATGGCTCCAATGATCCACTGAACCACTTTGACACTTACAAATCCCTGATGCATCTTTACAACATACTAGACGAGATCATGTGCAGGACTTTCCCTACCACCTTCAAGAGATCTGCTCACCAATGGTTTGCCAAACTTACCCCACCTTCGATTGACTCTTTCGCTAAACTAAGCAAGTCTTTCATCTCACACTTCATTGGGAAACATCGACACTAGGAACCTACTATCCACCTACTCAGCATCCAGTAGGATTGGTATAAGAGTCTAAGGAGTAGTTTCACTCGTTTTAACAAGGAAGTCCTTCAAATTGAAGAATCAGATGACAATGTCATCATGGTGGCCCTCACAGAAAGGTTGCGTTCATCTAGTCTTATTTTTTCAGTTTTGAAGTACCCGTTAAAGAACATTCTATAATTACTATCGAAAGTCCAAAAATGCACGAATGCTGAGGATGTCATTAAAGTCAAACGAGCTGAGCACACATGTAGAGGGGAGTGCAAAAAATAGAAACCACCAATCGCTAGCTAGGTGCACAACCCTAATGCCCAACTAGGTGCCAACAACCAACGCCCAACGTCCCAAAGCTTGCAACACACATGCTTGTGGTACCTAATGCCGTCACCCGCGATGGCTAGCTTCCAACGTCGTCGCCCATGGCAGCCAGTGCCTAGCGCCCTCGCCTATAGCGCTCAACACACCGCCCTCGGGGCTTAACACCCTCATCTGCGGTGCCCAATGCCATTGCCCACGTGTCATGCATTTGCGTCTGTGTGTCTGCATCCGTCAGCTTGCGCCCATGTGCCTGCACAAATGCTTCTGCACATGGAGCACACCCGTGCGTCTGCGCATGCCTATACACTCGTACGCCTAGCGCTTGTGTCTCCCGTGGCATCGCGCGTGCCCAATTCTTCAAGTAGTTCCTTTGGCACCTACCTCCTCTCATATGGATCCCTCTCCCTCTCCTCAAGCGCCCTTGCCTCTCTGGCTCAATGCACAAGTTTCGCAGGTTTTAGGCCTCTTGCGCACTACCTCATTGCCCGCACCAACGTGCGTCTCTTATCGTTGGCCTTCACTGGCTACCCTCATTGCCATCTCCCTCCTCTTCTCTGTCTCCTAAAAGAGAGGCTCCTGAGTTGCCACAAGCTAGACCAAACTTTACTTATGCTCTTATGCAAGTAGCCTGAATCTCCAACTTACCGACTCTCTCGCGAGTAGGGCTTCACTCTACATCTATTCTCACATAAGCAACCTCAGTCTCCAACTTAGTGGCTTTCTCGCGAATCGTTAGAAGCTTGGCCAAACTTTGTCCTTGGTCTCGTGCGAGAAGCCTCACAGTCAACTTACCTCCAGCCTAGTGACTCTCTTGATGGCTCGCCAAAAGCTCGATCTCAAGAGGTGCATCTCTCTCACGAACAACCCTCAAACTATATTTTTACTCTCGTGTGGGTAGCCTCACAATTAGCCTACTTCCAGCTTAGCGACTCTCTCGCCGGTTGCCAAAAGTTCGATTTTAAGAGGTGCAACTCTCTCACGAGCAACCATCAAACGTCGCCTCTACTCTCGTGCGACAGTTTCCCTCCAACTTAACGACTATTTCTCTATAGGTCAATGTGTCTACCTTTCTCAGCAGGTAATCATGATGGATATTTTGATGCTGGAGTAACATTGTTTTTTGTCATCTCTAGGCATGCCCTTAGAACTCAAGCTGCCTACAACCAGGAGCCCTTATTTTGGCCCCCCTCTAGGTGCCCTGTTCTGTACCCACTCCTACACTTGCACCTGCTCATGTGATTGCGCCAACCGTACCCCGATCGCCCACGCCTACACTCCTAATTGTGCCCTTGTCTGTACGCGCTGCTACTGCCTCTACGCCCGTGCCAGCCCCAGCGCTTGTGCCCTCCACCTGCCTCATCGTCGATGTCCGTCTGGCGTTTGCTGCGCAGACGGTCTACTCTCTGCCCCTTCTCCCTACGATGCCATCCTCTAACTTTCTCTTGCCACCTTGCTTAGGGACAACCCCACCATCATCTGTCTACTTGCCACCACTCCTTGACATCTTTCCAAAGATTTCTCTCTCAAGTGATAGGTTAGGATAAAGGTTTCCAAATCAAAGGGGGATAAACTTAGAGGGACAAGCCATATTAAAAAAAGAAAAGGTCATCAGTGAAGAAGAGTCCTCGTCAACCAGAATTCAAGCTCAAGTAATGCCCTCTCCTCCAAATTTTATTAGACTTGGTGCATGGGGGCAAATAATGGGCTTGGTCCAAGGCCCAACTCGAATAGTGGGCCTAACCTAACCAAGGTCCAACTCGGGTAATGGGCCCAACTCAGACAAGGTCCAACTCGGGTAATAGGCCCTGCCTAGATAAGGCCCAACTCGGATAGCAGGTCCTACCCATACAAGGTCCAACTCAAATAATTGGCCTAGCCCAGACAAGGCCCAACTCGAATAATGGGCCAGGTCCAGACAAAGCCTAATAGATCCAACCCAGAAGAGACCCAGATCAAGTCAAGCTCACCAAAGTCTCGACAGTCACACCATCCTGGCGTGAAGGAGTCGACGATGCCATCCTAGAGCATCATCCACGCCATCCTAGAGTGAGGAGGTATGTCACGCCATTCTAGGACCTGGTCTTAAGGAGCTTCACGACCTCTCAGCAACTGCCTCATCTATTGCGAGGATGACATCCACTCCACCAAATCAACATTTCTGTTACTAATAAGACGCCTCAATCTGTTAGGAAACGCCTATAAATTGTAAGTTCCGTCTACACATAGGGGCATCTCTCACATCTTGTATCTCGCCTATTACTCACACTTGAGCACCCAACACTCATTAAAGCAATAAAACACCCTTGTCATCCTAACCTTTCACAGTGGAGTAGGTCACTTGACCGAACCATTTAAATTGTATTTTACTTGTATTGACTTTCTCCTTATTTATTTACTGCATTAATTATTTGACAGGTGATGCATCAAATCAATTTGTGTAGCATCAATTAAGTCCACAATTTTTTAAAAACTAAAAAATGTCATTCCTAGGGAAGACAACATATGTTTATTAGAAAGACAACAAATTTCACTTGTATTTGCCTACCCATTTAATGCTCTCTCATCAATTTATGCCCTTTTCTCTTTCTCTCTCTCATATCACCCTATATCCATATTTAAATTATGATTATGTCTCTTTCTCTATCATATATATATATATATATATATATATATATTCAAAATCAAAGCAAAAAAATTTTTTTAGTAACATTCAAAACAAAAAAAAATATAAATTTCCAAATCAAAGCTTCCTCCATCTTTGTCCGTATATATATATATATATATATATATATATATATATATATATATACTAGTTATTGTTCGTGTCTGAAGACAATGTACAACGAAAAAAAATCAACTAAAAAAAATAAACATTAGCAAGAGAAAAAAGCGGTTCACGTAATAATAACAATAAATATCTAGAGACGATGAATATATAAAAAATGTACAAAATTACCTCTAAAAATATAACTCAAAAAATTTAGTGATTTACATATAGTTGCAAACATACATAATTCTGAAATTAAATGTCAATAGTACAAAGAATCAAAAAGAAACTTCCAAAAAATTCAACCAAAATAGAGGCCTACGTATAGCATAGATCAACTTCAATTCCAAAATATTATGGACATTCAATATTGAATGTAACAAACACCCACCTTAATATTACAGTAATTTTCATTAAAAAAAATTAGTGGGCAAAACCTGATATTTATCACATCCCAATTTTTTCAACTTTCTGGCTCCATGCAAAAAAGATGACATGAAATCCATTCACAACCCCCCCCCCCCTCTCCCCCAACAAAAAAACAACAATCTTCCGTAAACTTGACAATATCAATGAGCCCAGGAACAGAAAAGTAATGCAAAGAAAAAAAACAGTTGGTTGCAATGGCTCAAAAATTTCCATTTTAAAAAAAGCATTAAAATTCCAAATTCAATTATTCTACCATAAAAATATGCTAGCATCACTTTATCAACACCAAGCAAATATATATTACTCCAAATGAACAATCGTATTACACATTACTCAATTTCAAAACCAAATGATCGAATAGAACACTGAATAACACATTAAATAAGACTCAAAAACCAAATGACCAATTACATTATAATTGGCTCATGCTAGGCTGCAAAACTTACACAGTTTCAACTAATAATATAAATCAACTGCTAACACTTCAACTAATTTAAGTAAGCCACATAAATTCAATCCAAAACCAATTAAAGTATAGCAAAACCATGAAAATAATCAATTCACCTAAAAAAGACAACAACATGAACTGCACCAGGAAGGTCCTCCTAACCTCAAATGAGTTTTTGTCAATATTTCATGAAATCCATCCTCCAACACATTGTGGAATCTTCATACAAAAAAAGTGGTTAGAAACCATAGTATAAAGAGAATAAAAATTGAAGAACCACAGTAATTTGGTAGGCAATGAATCATATAAAAACAAACTGTATCTCAATCAGAGTCTTAAATTCCAAAAAATCAGAAATGGTACACACAGAAACAGGCCCTAAATTCCAAAAAATAGATGTTACACATAGAAACAGTAAACTACTTCTCGGTCGACATAAATATCATTGACATTTATTAATAGCAAGAGGACACACACAACAACAAATTAGGGGGAAAATTTTAGGCAAATTTAGAAAAAAAAAAAAAGGAATAAAAAGAAAAATAAAGCATGAAAATTTTACTCACTTATGGAGTAAGAAGACATAGTAGCAAATGAAAATGAGCACAGACAAAGGGAATGATCCATCTTCGGTTGCTGATTAGAGTTGGGAATAAAAAACAGATTCAAAATTTGAAACTACAATTTTTCCACTAAATGGGCCCGAAAAGCCATCAACCAAGTCAACTATCCAATTACTGCGATTCAACTCAACTGCACAAAGATTTATTTATCAAGCTTGCCAAAAATAAACAATTCCAATTTCTCATACAACATTGAAACTAATAAAAAAGAACTGGAGTCCTTCGATTTGAGTTAGGGCTAAAATGGGAGGCAATTTGAAATCCTTCGTTGATTTAGGGCTACAATTGGGGCAAATGGAGAGAGAGAGAGAGAGAGAGAGAGAGAAGAGAAGACTTACATTCGATACTTCGATCGCCTGCCATGCTTGAGATCGCCCGCCTCGCCTGATGTGGAGCTGAAAGAGAGAGAGAGTGTGAAGGAGTCTTTGAAAGTGCCTGAGGATGTGAATCTCACAGATCTGGACGTGAGAGAGAGAAGGAAGTGAACAGATCTGAACGTCAGGAGAGAGAGAGAGAGAGAGAGGAGGAGGAGTTCGCCGGAGAAAGTGAACAGAGAGGAGTTCGCTAGAGAAAGTGAACATAGCGGAGTTCGTCGTAGGGAGAGAGAGAGAGAGTGATGGAGAGTTTTATTTTTTTGTTCTGGAGTTTTGGATATTAATTTAAGAGAGTGTGTGAGAACATATGAGTGTGTGATGAAGAGATTGGCGGGAAATCTCAAAATTGTTTGATTAATATCAACCCTTAGACCAGATTTAAACAAATTTAGAAACGATCACAATCACGACCAGATTTAGACAATTTAGAAATGATCACAATCACGACAAGTAAAAATTATTTTGTTTATTTTTTGAAATTTGAATTATAAGCTACTTTATTATATAAATATTTTTTTTCTTTCATTTGTTTGATTAAATCATTTAAAATTATTTTTATCCATTATTTTCTTAAAGATATTAACAAAATTTTTTCAAAAATATGTAATTCGATAAATTGTTTTAACAGATCTATACCATCGTGTATGGATAATATCTAAAAAAAAATTATGTTAAATTACAAATTAATCAAATATTAAATTGAGCATGCGATAAAAATGAGTGATTTGATAATTTGGGAGGTGAGAAATGTATAGGGGATAAAATTCAACTTTCTATATGTTTTATTATATAGATTTATATAGATATAAGGGAAATTTTCATTCAAATTCCCTGTAATTAAGTCTAAATTCAATGACACCTCCTTTCGATTTAAAATTTCACTATCACTCCCTATTAGTGATTGTCAGGTTACACCGTTAATGGTGATGATTGATTTATAGAAATATCCCGGAGTATTTTATAGGGTAATTTTATCCACACCCCTTATAAATAAAATAACTTAACAACACCCCCTATAAATAGACCTAACTTTAACAACATCCCTTTCTTGATTCTAAAATTTCAATACACTCTTTCTTAGTTCTATTATATTAGCATTTATTTTGATCAATTTAATATTCAATTTTATCAAATTAATTTTTATTTATTTAATTTAAACTAAACTAAATTAACATTTTCATCTCATCAAATCAACACAAAATTGATATTTAATTTTATCAAAATT